ATCTCAGATACAAGTCGTCTATTTTTAAATGTTTTCAGACTTTCTATAGTTTTGTTTCATAACTACATTACAACATATAATAACATTTTTAGTATTCAATACCTTTTGTCTCATTTTTGTTTAGATGTTTATTGTTATTCATTTCACGGATCAGTCATTATTATTACAAAAAATTGAATCACTTGCCATATATAGTATGTTTGCTTTTTTTGATACAGAAAAACTATTTGTCTTTTTAAAGACAATCACTTTCTATAGATATTTGAATATATTTTATAATCTAATGTAATAAAAGTCAATAAATATAATTTTTTTTAATAATAAAATTTTTAAATAAGATTCAAAAAAGTTATTTTATGATTAGCTATAAAATATTATTTCTAACAATTTCTCAGTCTCCTAAAAAACTTCAAATATACTGTCTAAATGCTATTTATTTATTAAAAGCATTGTGTTGTAAAACAATTGTTTTACACAACATTTATATAGCAATAAAATAGATGCGTTTGCATCGCTGAACATAAATTGAATTCAAAAACAAATCGTTTGTTTAATCCATTGTTTTATTGATAAAAATGTAAATAAGATTTTATTTACTGTATTAGTTATATTGTATTACTGAAAAATTATAAACATTGTATATATTGTATATTATATTTATTTAGTATACAATAATTGATACTTATTATTATTTTATTACATTTTGACAAAAACATGAAAGACTTTGTGTATCTAAATTTGTTGTGTCTGACTGTCTGTTAATTTGTAAAAAAATATTTTTTAATTTGACTTTGGATTCATATATTTGATGATATAGTAAATTAGGAAATGACTTTTGAAACAACATATTTTATAAGTAGCAATAAACTTGTGGTTAAAATTAAGAAAGTTTATATACATATAATAACTGGATTTTATGTAAAATTTTATTATATTTACAAATATACTCATTTAATATCAAACCTTAATCAATCAATAAATCAATTAAACACCCTCTTTGGGCTAATTACCCCACACTGTGATCTTAAATACATATAAGCTATACTTAAAATCGTTGATTTAAATGAATATTCTGTACATTTAGTCTATTAATTAAATTATTTGCAAATTATTGTATTAATATTTAATGTTATATCATTAACAATAATTAACTGATTAATAAATAAAAATTTTAAATTATATTTTGTACTTTAATCTCAGCTAAAATTTTACTGAGAATTTTAACTAAAGAAAGATATGATAATTAATAATAAAACGTAAATGTATTTTAATTTTTTTAAAGACATTACCAAACAATTGAGTATTTTTATTAACAGCATTGATATAACATTATAGACTGATTGGTAAATATTGACCGGAATGTGAGTCTTAAAATTGCAATTGTATTGTATTAGACGTTAAATCCATTTATTTGTTATACAGTTTTGATTTCTATTGAATTCCCCATTGGTTTCAATCAATTCTTAACTTTGATGCTTATTCTTGAGTAGAAAAAAATAAACTCAAATACTATTAAGTCATCTAAATTACAAACATTTAATTTTTGTTATATCATTTAACTTTTGTAATAAAAAGTTTATTTTCAACATCTGATTACAATTTAAATGATTATTTATAGCAATCAATTTTAAAAATGATAAATTAAATGATAATTTATTGAATCGTTTAACACTTTTAAACTTGTTTTTTCTTTTCTAACTACAGTATTAGTATTATATTAATACAGATTTATATCACATTTAATCGAAAGTTTTGACATTTTCTCTATTTTTAGAATTGAAAACTATTTCGGAATTAAATTTCAAAAATATAATGATATAATTCAAGTTAATTTTAAAATACATAGTAATTTAGTCTTATACTGTATATATAGTACAGTGTAATATTTGTTATGGAGGATAATATTTTTGATAAATATTATTTAATTAATATTTTTTAATTCATAATATTTAAATAAATTAATAACGATAAAACAGATTTTAAAATTCATTATTTAATCTTTATATATGTCTATTATTATTATACTGTATATGTTTAATTTTCAAAAGTTTAAATTTCAAAAAATTATTTTTAAGCAATATTGTCATTGTCTTGTCAATTTTGTAATAATATTTTTTTAAAACAATAAATTATATCGATTAATTTTTTAATTTATATTAAAATTTATATTTTTAATGGCAATATATGAATTATTAAATATTTAATGAAATGCTTTTATCAAACGATAAGTTGACAAAAAAATATTTGTCATAATTTTTTGGCACTTTTTATTAAAAAAATATATGAGATCTTAAAGTTTGAGCTAATAGAAATTTTCACAAAAATTAAGAAAAATTTCTTTAAATTAAATGAAATATTTTTTAATATTTTGATTAAAAAATAATTTCAATAAATGGGTAAAATATTTTAGTATTTTATTAGTGCAGTTATTGCTTTAATTTTTTATTTTATTTAATATTATTCTGTAAATTGTAAATAGATTAAAAAAAGTGCAAGTTTCTTGAAATTTACTCGTATTTTTAGAAGAAAAAATCTATTTACTCAACATTAATAGTTGTCAATAAAAGTAATATTGTGTTTTCAATAAACACACATTTAAGCGAAAATCCTTAAATTAAGTTCAGCATTGGATTTCTTATAACATAAATTTTATTAAATATAGACTTACATTCAATTGCTTTTATCCATTCATACACTACATTGTAGTGATAAAAGTGTAATAGTTTTTTTTTGAAAATAATTTTTTAAACTTCTTTAACTCTAATCTCTTTAATTAAATTTAAAATTTAATAAACTTGAAACTACTATTTTCTATTTTATTTTTCTAATTATTTATATTATTAATAATTTAATTTTATATTATTTAACTTATCTCTTAATATTAGCGTTTAATGGTTTGGATTTAGTTGTATTTGTTATTTAACCCGATTTTGTATTGATATTACGACAATATTTTGCATACCATTATTTCGATGCTTTTAAATGTTTAACATAAATTATAATACTTTTAGTTTTTTGGCATACATTTGCTAAACAATACATTAATACAATGAAAGACTCTTTTATAAATTAGTTGAATCGCTAAGTATTTCATTATAATATATATATAAAAAATTGATTTTTAAACAGTTATTTTATTTATAATTTGAATGAATGCACTCTCCATTTAGTTTAGAAGTTTTGAAATTTAAACTTTTATTTAACAATAGTTTAAAGTCGATATTATTTATTCGTTGATGTCTAATAATTAAATTGATTAAAATAATGTAATACACAATGAATAAATCATTATATAATAATACATTATCACATAACCTAAGATAAAAATTATTAATAAACTAAATTTGTATTTTATATTTTTTTATCTGTTTTTTAAATAATTATTTATTTGGCATAAAATACATTAGTACAACTTATCACTTAATATTTGTACAAAAAATATATTGAAGATTATATATATATTTTTATTAATTAATGATTATATTTAAAATAATATAATACAAAAATATTTTTATAATAGTGTCGTACAGTATTATCAATTTGTAATAGACTTCAATAATTAATTACATAACATAAATAATAGCTTGTTTATTGAGACGTTAAATTAGATGTTTGTTTTGTAACAGCTGTATATTGAGTTATGACTGTAGTGACCATTTACAGTTACAATTTACCTGGACAATTTAAGATTTAAGTGTTTTTATCAATAATTTATTAATGTTATAAAATTAGATAATCATTGGTCTTAATCATTGAATAAGAAATAAAGGAATATAATTAAAATATAAATAATACAGGTTTTGATAATTTTAGTTTTATTATTACTGATAATCACTTTATCGTATGATATTTGGTCACACTATAGTTTTTTCGTATCATTTTTATGATTAAATGATTACCAATATTTGTTACCATTTAATAACCTTAAATAATTTTGATTCAAGTCCTCAATGCTTTTTTTGCTTTAATTTTTTTTATTCTCTGTATTACTGATTATGGCTAACATAACAGTATTATATAATATAATAAATGACACAATAAATAAAAAGTAATATATTTTCTTGAAATATCATATATGGCTTACAATTCTTTATTTGATTGCAATTTACAAAAGAAATGTTGATTTGTGCGACACATGTGTTACGATTTGTATGTATTGTTAAAGTTATGTTTATTTCTTTCACAACTCTCAGCACGTTTTGATAGATTATATTAAAATTATATTTTTATTCACTAAAGAGATTTTATATTAAATTTTTTACTAGAATTTAAATATTTATTATTTATTGTTTGATGCCTTGTAATTGATTTTACGTACAATAAGTACCGCTAATTATTTGAAATATTATTATTTAGAGGCATAAAAATTAGCTAACTTTTTATGAAAAATGCTTTTTCACATATTGTATATAATATTGTATTATTATATAAGTATTATTATTATTATTATTATTATTATTATTAAAGGCATTGTTAGCTGAATAGTATATTAGTATATTTTTTAGAGAAGTTGTCAGACATCGATGCTTTATATAATGCACTTTATAGTTGAAAAAAAAGGTTTTTCGACAACAAAAAAGTTTATTACATAACTCTGAGGAAGTTTTTATTATTCAACATTTTATAGCCTAAATATTGAAGAGCAGTGCAGCTGTACGTCGAGTCAAACATTTTATTATATATAATATTTTAGTTGAGAATAATTTTTTGTTGTGTGAAACACTCCAAACCACACATTGATCTCAACTTTTGATTGCAATGTATTGAACGATGTATTGCTTTTCCTCCACAAAAAATCCACACAAAACTTAATATATATTGAATCTAAAAGCAGATGCATTTTATCCATATATTTCCACACGTTTTTACTGTAGTATTTAAATCACAGAATATATTATTATATATTTATAATTCAGTTTTCATTTCTCAATGTCTTTTTTCTCTGATTTATCTACAGATTTAACAACTGATGTGAAAGACTACCAAAAAATACTATCGAAATGAAGAATTATCTCAATTTAATATTTATTTTAATATTTTGTTTTATGAATTACTTTTCAAACACATTGATCGACGCGTTGTGTCCAATGAGATGCAATTGTAATGACGAACGATTGATTGCATTTTGTAATAATTCGCTTCTGGATGTCGTTCCCATTACACTGAATCCAGAATTGAAAGAATTATATTTAAGTAATAATCAGATAAAAAATATATTTTCCTCTTTTACTGTATATCGAGATCTAGAGGTATTAGATATGACTCATAACTCAATGACAAGTTTAGGCAAAAAGAATTTTAATTTACAAAATCATCTAAAAGTGATGTCTGTGTCCAACAATATGATTACACAAATTAATAATTTGACATTTTATGGACTTTCATCACTACATGTGCTCAACTTGAATGACAATTTGCTTCAAGATTTGCCATTCAGAGTGTTTGCGACTTTAATTAGTTTAGAAAAACTAGATTTGAGTTCAAATGCAATAAATAGTGTTTCTCCCGAAGCGTTTTCTGGACTAAATAATTTAAAAAGTCTTATATTAAGGAACAACCGTCTGGTTCGGGTGCCATCAGTTGCGTTCTCGCATTTGCCAAATCTGGTCAAACTGGACATCGGTTTCAACTCATTCATAGAAATGCCTGATTATGCCTTTTCCTCATTGATGAGCTTACAGGAACTCCTACTTGATTCGTGTTCAGTGACATCAATACCAGAGACAGCATTCCTTCATTTATCTCATTTGCGGCAATTAAACCTTCGGGACAACCATTTGACACAAATACCAACCGAAGCGTTGGAGAATCTGAAGAATTTGAATGAATTAATCATAAGCGGTAATAGAGTGCAAATTATAACAGCGTTTGCTTTCCGCGGTCTTACAAACCTTAAGGTTCTGGAGATGTCATATCTGAGCCAATTGTCTTACATCGATAGGGATGCGCTCATCGAGAATGTGAGGCTTAAGAAAATAGTTTTGGAATTTAATGAAAAGTTAAAGAATGTATTTATCGGCACTTTTGACGCCAATTCAGCAAATCTGAAGTATCTTTCATTGAGAGGCAATTCAATGGAGACATTGCATTCAAGACTCGTTCAATGGCAACGACTCGACTTTCTTGATATTAGAGAAAATCCATTTAATTGTAACTGTTCTCTGGTATGGTTCTGGAAATTCCTTAAAGAATCTAATTTGACGACAAAAGAGTATTTGGAAAGTGTTGTCTGTGCCAAACCCCCTAATCTTATGTCTCATCCATTGATGTCAATACCCGTATCAGACTTAGGTTGCTATGAAAGCAAGAATTCTCAATATTTGACGACAACCCTAATTGTGTTCACCGTTTGCACCATTTGTTGCATTTTTGTTGGTCTTTGGTGTCGCACAAGACTAACCTATTTGATGCATAAGAAACAATATGAACAGTCATTATATCCAGCACTGACTGATGACATCACCTATGAAAAGGGCAGAATTATTGATAACCAAGTGATGTGTTCTCCAACCACTGCTATTATGATTAAGCCTCCCATTAGGATCGCACCTATAACTGAGCTATAATTCATTATAACATACTATCCCATTAAAAATAGTGCAAAACACAGCAAAACAGCTAAAATGTAATTCATTGTCTCATTAGTGAACAAAATGACTATAACTAACTATACATGTTGTATATATTAAACACATTTATTGTACTGTATATATAAATTATATAGCTTTACTGTATATATACATACATATACAGTATATATAAATTTATATCAATTTATATACTGTAGTGTAGTCTCTATGCATTTACAATGAATGGCAACTCGTTTTAATAGACTTTAGTTTAAAATTACATCACAACTACCGACTCTATGTGCGCTTCATTTGTATTATAGTTAAACACTAATCATATTATTTATGTACTTTCTATGCATTTATATTCATCTCTAAATTAGCCATCATTTGCAACTTTTTCCTACACTTCACGCATAAAAATCAATCGTCAAAACTTAAAAATACAGAAATGGTTTTAAAAACAATGACTTTTTATAAACTATATTTGTTTTTTAGCACATTTTGGCATCAAAACAATATAATATATAAATATATTAAACCGTATAATCTTATATTTATATTATTAAGTATTGCATATAAAAATACATTTTCAAAAAAATAAAATGTTAAACACTTGTATATCAAAATGAGTAAGACGTATGCCATGACTGACTGCAATAAAGATAACTTATATTCAAGTATTTACACAATTGAAATAATTTTTGAAAATAACGGTAAGTTATTCTTAACTTTTTATTTAGTGCTAAACACAAATCATATAAATTATAATACAGTAATATTACTTTATATAAATATAATTTAAATGGCAATAATATTAAATTATATATATACTGTATATACAAATATATATATATATATATATATATATATTAGTATTATTATTAATAATAATGCTATGATCCTCATAAAATTACTTTGTATTAAATTGTAAAATATGTTTATAACAATGTTTTATTATTTTTTATGTCTATTTTTGTCATTGATTATACGGTATAAAGGATTTAACATTAGATTACTTGTTTTAAGTGAATTGTTTAAATCACGATATTTTATTATATATCGCTATATATTAGTGTTATAATATTTATAGTATATAACAATAGATGACTACAAACCATTTGCGATATTGATTTGCTGTCATAATAATAATGTTTTATTAGTTTATGGATTTATTCTCTTAACATTTTATATAAAAAAAACATTAAAATTTTAAGCCAATACTGATAACGGATATTGTGTTTGAATAATTTCCGAAATATATATAGTATTGTATACAATACCTTATACTATATTTAGTATAATGGTATATTTATATGATAGTTTTAGAAAATATTATATGTTTTAAGTTATATAACAAAAAATTTTGAAAAATCAAAATGTGTGTACGTATGTGTATGTGCTTATGTGTGTGTGTTTTGTGTGTGCGTATGTGTGTACGTATATGTATGTGCTTATATATATATATATATATGTGTGTGTGTGTATGTGTGTGTGTGTAACTAAAAAATTATATATTTTATCATTTGTAAAACTGTTATATTTGTCTTCAGAATATTTTTAAAAATTAATAATAATAATAGATTATATATTATATTTAATATACTAAAATATATGCAAATTAAAAATAAAAATATTTTATACGTAAGTCGAATTTAAAACTAGACAATCAAATTATTATAGATTTTTTATATTTACAATTAATCTTACATTTAAAATATAGTTAAAATAAAACTTTGTATAAATGATTATTTTAATACAATTTACACACATAATTAATTATCAACATATTTTTGTATATATGCTGACAAAAAACTAAATAACTTTATTTGATACTAATAAAAATTAAAAATAAATTTAGTACAGTCATAAAAATTAATGTATCAAATGTAATAAATATTTATTTTTTTGCATAATATTCGTTCACTATTTTATATTATGATATTATAAATATTCTGTAAATTTAGTTATTAGTATAATAAAAGTTTTTATATAGTTTCAATAACTTTAAAATCAAATTTAAAATATTTATAAATATTATATAAATTTTGATTACGTTTTATCAAAGAAATAATGATTCTTCAGTGGAGTTCGGAAGAAAAGAGGAGTGAAAGAGAGAGAGAGAGAGAGAGAGAGAGAGAGAGAGAGTCAACTTATTGTATTTGATGTTTTGATGATTTGTTTGATGTGAGCGGTGGGTAACACCTGCTGCTGACAGATCTTCTATTTCTTAGCTGTCGTTCCCTAGGCTTTGATAGAGTGAATGTGTATAAGATGTGTATGGCATAGGACTGGCCTACTTTCTAAAACAAAATGCCTTTGAAGGCATCATTCAAAATGCAATTTTTATACTATATATATATTGATATATGCCTGTGTTTATCACTTGTGTATTTTTTTATATGAGACTACCAGTGCTGTATTCATCATCCCTGTGCTCCCAAATGCCGATAAAGCCGACATTCAGAGAGGAGTATACAGACAATGAGTACTAAAAATGAAATATATTTATTCAGTTTCTATTTTGTGTTGAATAACGAGTAAAAGCTTTTGTGGTTTTAGCTCTCAAAACAACTTTTGAAGTGAAACTGCTTTGACTTTAAGCCTCTCCTCAATGTTTACACGCTTTTCAATCACAAACCATAATATTTATATTCCTTTACCAATAGATAAGCTATTGATTGTTACCTATATTTGCAAATATTAAAATGTAATTCACCTTAAAAAGCATTTTTTAATATTTATCTAAACATTTAATATGAATCTAATAAGCATTTCTCTTCCTTTGCTTTTTATGAAAAATATTTTTTGACAACAAATATAAAATATATAATAATATCAAAAATTTCGATTTTGTTGTACAATATGTCAATATTTATATAGTTTTATTTACAATCATAACTAATACTAAACATATTATGTACAGTAAATGATAATATTATTAAATATTAAATATTAAAAAATAAAATTTTATTTTATAAATAAAATGTACATTTCAGTAATTTTTTAATAAAAAATTATTATACATTTACACAATAAAAAAATTTAGGTGCTATTAGTTTATTTATAGTAAATTATATCTTTTAGTGTTTAAATTTATATTAAATAGATATTCAAATTAAATATATTGTATTCATTATTTAATACATTACTGTTAAAGATAACTTACTGAGAATCTTAAGCTAAACAAAATACTTTTATCATTAATTTTTATAAATATCACACAAAATAATTAAAAATTTTATAAACAAAAATTGCTTAAATAATGTAATTATTTTATTTATGGTTCGTTTAATGCCTTGATTTCAATGCTTTAAATTAAATGAGTTTTATAAATCAATGATATAAAGGATAAATTGTTTCAAATTAAGAAAGTAGACTAAAATTGCTTTACTTTTAATACAAGACGTGATCTTAATGTTTGAACTTTTCCTAAATTGAGTTTCACATCACATGTAAAAGTCTATAATATCTAAAGTACTGTCTGTATGTTTTACGACTAACTTTATTTTGATCACTATTTCTCTTTTGCAAAAATATGTATATTAGGAGAAAAATATTGAAATATTAGTAAAGTATAATAGATGTTATATTAACTATAAAAAAGTTAAAACTAAAGAATATATATTGTCAAACGATAGGGCCATTTTTTTGGTCATAAATCTAGTAATGGGTCTCTCTCTCTCTCTCTCTCTCTCTCTCTCTCTCTCTCTCTCTCTCTCTCTCTCTCTCTCTCTCTCTGTCTCTCTAAAATCAATGTATACACGACTCGTGTCTCAAAACAAAACTCGTGAACACAACAGTAAAATAGTGATTCAAATTTTAAATACCAGTCTTTGTATTAAAACATCATCTCTTTATCCCTTTTGATGACACCGACTGTGCTTTTGTCTAATATCAAGTTTGAGCCATCATTTATATCATAGTTTTAGAGTTTGCTTTATATACAGTAAAGTAGACTATAATTTATTTTACATTACAATCACAACATAGACAGTGTGTAGTACACACTGTGTACTTTCGTGTGTCAGCTTTTAAAATACTAGTGCTATCGATACTATACTTTAAAATACTCCCAAAAATACACTTCAATAGAAACAAGTCTATCATCAATATATAATACTTAGCATTGAAATGTAATAGTAAAGGAACAGTAAAGGAATAGTAAAGTAATAGTAAATAATTTTTTAGTTTTTTTAGAATATATATATTATTCGACATAATTTTTAGAAATATATATATATATATATTAAGTGTATTATTAAACTAAATTAACTATTCAATATATTTTAGCTCTTTCTTTATCAGACTAACAAATTTGATAATTCAATGTATTTTTACGTTAATGACAGGACTGATAGTATAAAAATAATTTAAGCCTTTATATCAGTGAAGAGGGGAAACAAATAAGTTATTGAGAATAATGGGTGAAACAAAGTTTTGACAGTAAAATAGTAGTGAAATCATGAATCACTTATAAATTGAACTCTAAATTAAATGTTTTGTAAGAAATGGTGCATTAAAATTGAAAAAATGACATTTAACTTGTTTTATTAACTCTAATTCAAAGCTATTGTAAATGCATTTTGAAATAAAGTTGTAATCAATTCATTGATGATTCATAAATGAAAATACATTTCATTAATTTTGAGCCTATTTTTAAACATAGTATATATCGTGTATATATATATTGGGGACTTTTGGGACTATTGTATTGAAGACCGACTGTTCACTATTGGGATCAAATTGTTTAAAGACCAATGCAGTCAAAGTGTACCGCACCCTATGTATTATGCATTGTATTGTATGATATTATAATATAGATTGACATTTTATTTAAACTTAAGCTTAACTTTTTAACATCAAATTTAGCCATCAGTTCATTAGTTAGAAAAATTGAATTAAATCTGCATTTATATATCAAAAATGGTTTTCTAAATATAAATATTTAATGACTAATATTATTCAATAGTAAAATGTTATTGAAATCTGTCAAAAACATAGTTATAACAAATTGTTAATCTAATGACTTTTTA